AGTAGCCCCAATTTGGTTGAAGTCTTGTAACTGAGTAAAGACTCCTTTGCATTCCTAACAACATGGAATGTAGTAGTGAGCATTGCATTCTTTGACTTAATCTCTGCAGTGAAAGTTCCAATCACTGGCAAGGCTACCTTTGAAGCATAGGCAGTGGCTTTGCCATTATAGTTTTCAAGCTTTGGGAACTGTTATTTAAATTTTTTATAGTGGCACTCAGCAATGGTGTCAATGTTTGATCCAGTGTCAATGAGAACTTTGAGACAAATACCAGCAATGTATCAACATGTCTCTGGGTTGTTTGGAAGATCATTCCATTCTGACTGATTGTACTCCATAAGTATAATCACATTCACTGTCATCTGAGACTGGGTGTAATGAAATGTTGTCTTGTACATTATTAACATTCTGGATATGAGGTGCAATATTGTGTTTACCACCTCGACCCCTATGACCTGATCCTCGTACAGTGCTTTTATTCATAGACTGTGGTTTCTTTAGTGCGGAACGACACATAGCACCAAAATGACCTAGTTTTCCACACTCATAGCACTTCTTACCTTGAGCAGGACAAACATTACCTTGGTGTGGGTAGTCTCCTCCACAATTGTAACATTTATTGTTGACACCCTCTGATGTGGGTCGTTGTGACTGCTTGAGTCTTGTTCCATGACCCCAGTTGTGATGTGGTTCTCGGCTCAATTTACTGTTAGGTTTGGCATGATATCTTCTTTGATTACGATGTCCTCCCTGAACCTTACATACCTCATCACTGTTAGTAACAGTGGCAGAACCGTTGTTGGCACTGCACTCCATGACACGAGCATCACGTGCAGCATCTTCCATTCGACGAGCAATATCCAGTATCTTGGTAAGAGAACTTTCATCATCAACAAGTTCTAGAGCTCTTCGACGGAGACGTGTAGATGTGCATGTTTCAATTATTTGCTGTTTGATTTCTTTGTCAACATCAGCAAACTCACAATGGGCTGCTAAACCCTGCAGACGTGTGTGGTATTGATCCACAGTTTCATTAGAGAGTTGTCTGGCTCTCCTGAAATGCATAATTTCCATGGCAATATTTTGTCTTGGTTTGAAATGCTCTGTTAGTTTGGCTTTGGCAGTTTCATAATCTTTGGCACCACCAGTGTCTTTCAGTGTGTCAAAGATGTCACAAACTCTATCACCTGCATAATGAAGTAGAAAGGCACGCTTTCTTTCAGCACTTTTGATGTCAGAAACTATCAACAAATTTTCAAACCTTTTAAGCCATTTGACCCACCTCTGTGACAGGTTTGTCTGGTCACAGTCAGGATCAAATGCAGGAAACTGAGGTATATTTGCCTTTTTTTTTACTGAATAAATGTAACTTATCACTTAAATGTTCCTCAGAATATTAAACACTTACTGCACTGTATATGTTAGTTAAGAATTCACTGTAATTACTTTAATTTTGCAAAGCACACAAGCATTTTAATGCAAAAGTTCACAACAGTGCACAATACAGCAGCAACTGACTTCTTACCTAGCCCTTGTGTACATGTGTTGTTCCTACTCACAGCAGCACAGCAGTTGTCAGCAGTTGGCACAGCAGAAGTTAGCAGTTGGTGCAGCAGTTGGTACAGCAGAAGGTACAGCAGTTGGTGCAGCAGTTGGTGCAGCAGTTGGTACAGCAGTTGGTACAGCAGTTGGTACAGCAGTTGGTGCAGCAGTTGGTGCAGCAGTTGGTGCAGCAGTCAGTTCACAGCGTGAAGAATTTTAGCACAGAGCGCGTTTCGTATACAAAACATCGGGTTTTGTATACAGCATCAAAGCGTCGTTTCGTACACTGCGTCGGCAGATTCGTCAGTACACAGATTAGCACATCAGTAGCACATTTCTTGGTTAGCACATAGCATTGGTTAGCACATAGCATTGGTTAGCACATAGCATCGGTTAGCACACAGCATCGTTTAGCACACAGCATCGGTTAGCACACAGCATCGGTTAGCATACAGCATCGGGTATGGTGCTCACAGCTTCTCTTCCTCCTCCAGGCAGCATGCTTCTCCCTTGTGTTTGAAACTGAACAAATACCTGCGTTCACAGTTCATCCTCGTCGCCAATGTGGTGTTTGTGTGTTACTGAGGAAGTCTTGATTGTAGGGTTGATATAAAGCCATTGCTTGGTTACTGACTTTAATACGTATATAAACAATTACATGACTAGCTGCTTCCAAGCTGGTAGCTCCTGTGTGCTCTTGTTTACCTTCTCTGGCGTCTGCTCCGCCACACATAGAAAACGGATGGTACCATTTTCTGTGAACATGACAGGTATCACTATGGGTATATGTATCCGTAAAAGCGGATACGGACATCAATACAGTTGGAGGATTACCTTGGTACTGCTTGAAAAGATTGATGTGGCAGAGTTGGGTCTTATGCCGCCGATCAGGAGTCTCTAGAATGTACTTATGATTGTTCCTACATTCTTTGATGCGGTATGGACCTGAAAATTTACTCTGGAAGGGGGAGCTTGGGATAGGAAAGTATGCCAAAACGAAGTCTACTACCTTGAATTTCCTGACTTTAGTATTTGATCAAAATGTGTTTTCATTTTATGCTGAGATGTTGACGAGTTAGCACTGGCAAATTGATGTACTCTTTCAAGGGTGCGTCTCAAATATTTTAAGAAACTGAGACACATTAAGGGAATCAATGAAGATGTTAGAGGTCAAGGAATCTTTAAATGCTTTCAGGGGGTATGCACTTACGACCGTAGAACATCTCAAAAGGAGATGTTCTACGTAAGAATGTAGAACTCATTAGGAATGTACTTCTTAATGAGTCCCTCCAAGGGACTCATTATGAAGACTTCTGAAAATACACATGATAAGGTCTAGTTGCTAATCCCAATCCTTCTCTGTACTAATGCAAAATTTTCTTAAAAGTGACTTGAGAGTTTGATGGCTACGTTCTAGAGATCCCTGTGAAGCAGGATGATTGGGGCTAGACAATACTTGTGTGATGTTGAACTCTTTAAGGATGTTCTTAAATAAGTCACTGGTGAAGCTTGTGCCACAATCGCTCTGAATCTCTCGTACTCGTAACTATCCCGTAGTTAATCCATTCTATGTGAGGATCTTTAGGAGGTGCTTAACAACTGTAGCAGCCGTAATGTTCTTGACCGGAACTGCTATAGGGAACCTGGCGGTAGGACACATGATAGTAATGATGTAGAGGTTGCCGGAGCTAGTTCATGGTAGCGGCCAGACGCAGTCGATAATCAGTTTGCTGAAGGGCTCTGAAGGCACAGGAATAGGAATCAGTGGTGCTTTAGGAATAGGAGCATTAGGCTTACCTGCCATTCGACATGTATGACAAGTGTTCACGAAGGTCTTCACGTCTCGTTACATGCCTGGCCAATAATAGTCCTGCATGATAGGTTTTGTTGATCCCATAATGGGACATCGGGCCATGGGCCAAGTCAATTATGTCTTTACGTAATGAGGTAGGAACTTCCAACTGATCAACATTAGCCCAATTATCCTCTGCCTTTAATTTAGTGGGTCAGAATCTGCAATATAAGATTTGATTATCATTCAAAATATAACTAGGGATAGAATCAGTCTGAGTTTGAGCCTGGAAGAATAAGGGAGTTAATGAAAGATCAGCTTGCTGTAATTTTTAGAACTCCAACCAGTTGAGATTCCGTGAGAGGCCTTGTGGATCTTGAGGGACAGCTGGAGCTACTTGTTGTGGTTGAGCGGCTTGAGCACATGTAGTCATTAGGACAGGCTGGGAGATGTCTTTGGTTTCGTCGGTCACCTGTACCTCTTATGCGGCATACTTCATTACAGGGTTTACTGTAGCAGTCACAGACCTGGAGTTTGTCACAGATGATCAGGTTCGTGGAGTCCTATTGGTCAGCCAAGTCGTTGCCCAAAAGAAGTTGAATTCCTGGCATGGGAAAAGGCGACTTATGATATCCCTCATGGCGACTTGGACTTCTTCACGAACGAAAGAACAATCTGGATGGACTCCAGCAAAGTGGGAGTGGTTGCAGTGAGGTCGGTGATGAGGACGCTTTCTCCTGTGTAGGTGACCTTGGGTGCAGCAGCTTTCAGGAGTATGCTTTGGAGAGCAGCTGTGTCCCTCAAGATGTTCACTTGGACCTTTCCCTTAGAATCTCTATCGTTGGCAGAGACAGTTCTGGATACACGTCTCTGTGGAATAAGGAGAGATCAGAAGCTGGAACATGGGTATGCATAACAGGCGTATAAGGCTTAGGAGGTTGAGATTTAGGCTTATGTGAATCGTTCCTAGTTTTACAAATGAGGATTGGTACATTTTTCGATTGTGTGTCCATATACTTTACAATACCTACAGTAGAGTGCATAATTAACATCGGCATGACTCACTTTAGCAGGGCTGGATCAAGATGGTTTACTGGAATAAGAGTCATATGAATTAAGGAATTAAACTATAGGTATCAGTCAACTGCGCACACTTACTGAGGTTGGTCTCTCCTTTATCTGTAAGGTTAAGACGTAGGGGTTTGACACACGGCGCATAAATTCTTCCATGAGGATGAGGTTGATAAGCTCAGGAAAAGTGGTGATCTGGGCTGCCTCCAGCCACTTCATAAAGTATCTGGTTTTATTCTGAGCAAACTCTACATTGGTGTTTGCACAGGATTTAACATAATCTCTGCAACGACGTCTGTAACTTTCTATCAACAAGAGATAAGCGTCCAGAATTGCTTGCTTCAGTACCAGGTAATCAGTCTCGGTGGCAAGAGTACTGAGGGTCAAGGCAGCTCTACCTGTAAGATCGAATCGAAGGAGTATTGACCATTGGTTCTGAGACCAGCTGAGTTGAGTAGCTAACGCCTCAAATGAGATAAAAAATTAATCCACCTCTGTCTCCACAAAAGGCGGCATCATTTCAATACACTGAGTCACATTAAAACGTACCGGGAGGTTGGAGTCTGCTTAATGGCGCTGAGCGGCGTGGGTAGTTTCAAGTTCCTGTTGTCGAAACTCTTAGAGTGGCAACAGCTTTCTCTTGCTCCAGACGGAGAGCGGAGGCAGCTTTCTCTTGCTCCAGACGGAGAGCGGAGGCAGCTTTCTCTTGCTCCAGACGGAGAGCGGAGGCAGCTTTCTCTTGCTCCAGACGGAGAGCGGAGGCAGCTTTCTCTTGCTCCAGACGGAGAGCGGAGGCAGCTTTCTCTTGCTCCAGACGGAGAGCGGAGGCAGCTTGCTCCAGACGGAGAGCGGAGGCAGCTTTCTCTTGCTCTTGCTCCAGACGGAGAGCGGAGGCAGCTTTCTCTTGCTCCAGACGGAGAGCGGAGGCAGCTTTCTCTTGCTCTTGTTCCAGACGGAGAGCGGAGGCAGCTTTCTCTTGCTGACGGAGAGCGGAGGCAGCTTTCTCTTGCTGCAGACGGAGAGCGGAGGCAGCTTTCTCTTGCTCCAGACGGAGAGCGGAGGCAGCTTTCTCTTGCTCCAGACGGAGAGCGGAGGCAGCTTTCTCTTGCTCCAGACGGAGAGCGGAGGCAGCTTTCTCTTGCTCTAAGCGGAGCGTGATGGCGGCTTCTTGTTCTTGTAGCTGAAATCTCTCTCGTTCACGTACACATTGCAGATCAGCATTTTCTTGCTGTCGTTGACGTTTCAAGTCAGCTTCTTCTTTCTGTCGTTGACGTTCCAATTCTATTCGTTGTTCTTGGAGCCGGAGTTGTTCATTCTCTCGTTTTCGTTGGAGGGAAGCTTCTTCTTCTCGTCGTTGATGTTCTAGGTCAGCTTCTTGTAATCTCATCACTCATTTCCCTTCATAAGCCTCTGTTTCCATGTGGGCTAATTTGATCTTCAGCTTCATGACGGCGAGTGCAGTCTTAATCGGCAATCGGTATCGGTAATTTGATGTTGTTCCTGCAGCTCTGAAGTGATAAGATCATTATCAATCAAATAATCTAGTATCATATTATGAAGTTCAGTTTTGTTGGCTCCATGGGGAGGTAAGATATGATATTCCGTAGTAAGGGTTAGTAACCTGCCTTTGGTGGTGCGAGTGAGGTTACCAACTTCGTCCTCCGGGTTGGAACGGAAGGCAGCTAAGCGAAACATGGTTTACAGTACAGAGGTAAGTAAATAAATGCAAGAATAATGTGACTGTCCTCCTGTAAGTGAACCAATACGTGAGGTTTATTCGACTGACAAAGATTATGTGATATCAGGCACGGGAATGGTTGGTATAGGACTGGCAACTTGTAACTATCCTGTAGGGTAATAATATAATTACAAGATAAGTTACTGAAAGATAAGGTTAATTGATTGATTATTATAATTAAGTCATAGATTTTAATAAGGACTTGGGGAAACAATAAATGTTTCGAGGTAGTACAAGACAATGTAGGCATGTACTCGGTATTCTATTTATGACGAGGATAAGGGCAAGAGGTGTCCTACTGAAAACTAGGTAATTAATTGCAGTTACAATACTTTATGCTTTGGGAAAAGAATGGTAAACTCCCTACCTGGGCAATTAATCACAGACTTTGAACGAAGGCTTAGGGGTGCGGAGAGTGTCAACACTGTGACGAGAACTGCTGTACATGACCCAAATGTACAGTACAGTCCTGGATGCAAAAGGAATGAAAGCCCAATACATCCCCCTAAGTTCGTACTACAAAGTTGAATATCATAGTTAGGAGACAAACCAAAGTACCCAAATGTGTGATCTGCCTGAATGAGATACTTCTGTAGGGACAAGATTGTATGGGTAAGCAGGATATAGCAAAGGTTAATAAGACTAACCATTATGAGTATGAATTTGCACATAATACATCATGTAATCTAAAGTCAAACAAACAAACAAACAAACAGGTCACAAATTGCTACACCTGAAATGTAAGTAGAGTTAGTCACCAATGAAAAATACTCAAAAAGAGTTCTGAAAGGCAAACATGTGTTAAAGCCAAGTAAACAACTGAACACAACTTTAAGCAAAGGAACTAGGTGCAATACCTGAGACAAGACTCCCGGATAGGCCCCCACATTTTGTATGGACTTGAGGTAGCGTAGCAACTACCTGCAGCTGGTATATGCCAAACACACATAAAATAAACAAAAAGATAAAACAAATTAAAATAAAACTGCTTACATCCTTTGCGGTGTGAATAGTGGCATGGAAAACAAGAAACATTAACAATTAAAGTCATAATGTATAATAATAAACCCAAACAATGATAAAGACTAAAACCTTGGCTTTACACAAATGTCTACAAATGAATATAAGAATTATGTTACTCTACAAACAAAAGGGTGACTATACAATATGTACAAATTTGCTTTCCTTCCTCTGTCACGTGTTATAGCAAAACCACATCGTGTGAGAGAAGAGACATGTGACCCAAGAGAGAGCACCAGAAGTAGTCTGAGTGCTGGGCCGCCAGCTGTCGCTTATATACACTGGTGGGTGACATCATGCTGGCGTGAAGCAGGAGTTGAAAGGTCAACCGACAGAATAATGGGTTGATTGCTGGTGTTTAACAAGCAGCCGGCGAACACCTGGCATGTGGCTCTCGAGACAGAGTAAGGGGAAGGCCATGGTGAAACATTCTAGACATCTGGCTGGAGGATTTTTGATGTTAGAATGAAGTTAAGGAGCATGTTGGTGGTGAAAGCAGTAGGAAGAGCCATATTACCATATCTCTATGGACTTATCTTGAGGTTATCTTGAGATGATTTCGGAGCTTTTTTAGTGTCCCCGCAGCCCGGTCCTCGACCAGGCCTCCACCCCCAGGAAGCAGCCCGTGACAGCTGACTAATACCCAGGTAACTATTTTACTGCTAGGTAACAGGGGCATAGGGTGAAAGAAACTCTGCCCATTGTTTCTCGCCGCCGCCTGGGATCGAACCCAGGACCACAGGATTACAAGTCCAGCGTGCTGTCCACTAGGCCGACCGGGGAGCCAGTCGGCCGGGGAGCCGGTCTTGTCAAGACTCATAAACCTAGCAATCCCATGAGGCCTATCATCAGTTCTGTGGGATCCATTTCTTACAAGGTTTCTAAATGGCTTACCAAAATCTTGTCCCCATTGTTAGGAACTATTTCCTCTTCTCATTTGACCAATTCTATTGAATTAGTTAAAAAATTGAATATTGTTCCAATCGCTCCTGATATCAAGTTAATCAGTTTTGATGTTTGTTCTTTGTTTACAAAGGTGCCTGTTGATGATATTCTTGATTATCTTGCTCATGAATTAATAAATCATGTTTTACCTCTTTCTGCTGAATTGTTGTCAATCTCGTTACGTTGTGCATTAAAGAATGTAAATTTTCCTTTAATAATGAGTATTATTTACAGACTTTTGGAATGGCAATGGGGAATCCTTTATCGCTATTGCTTTCAAACTTGTTCATGGAATTCTTCGAAAAGAAATTTGTTTAACAAATACCTTGTAAAGACTGTAATCGGTTCTATGTTGGGCAAACATCTAAAGATTTTAAATGTAGAATTTTGCAACATAACTTCTCTGTAAGACATGGCCATTCATCTAATGCTTTGTTTGTTTGTTCATTTGTCAGAAAGTTCTCAGCAAATTGATTGGGAGATGGCTTCTTCAATACCGAATTTTAAAATTATTTTCAATAGGAACATAATTGAATCTGCTTTAATACAGATTACAAAATGATGTAATTTAAACATTAGCAGTGATGAAGATGAAGCCATATGATGAAACTCTAATTTATATCCACCTAATCTCATTCATATTTTTGTCATTGTACCTCACTTCACTTCTCTTTCCTGCCTATATATGTCCAAACTTACTGACTTGTAAATCATTCCTTCTGAAGATGTATTATTAAATACGAAGTACATAAGGAAATTAATGTTTCAATTCTTCCTCCATGGTCCTCCAATTCTTCTATGGTCCTCCAATTCTTCCTCCATAAACATATGTCATATCTAGTAGCCAGAACGCACTTCTAGGCCTACTATGCAAGGTCCGATTTGCCTAATAGGCCGTGTTACAGTGCCCTCTCCTATTTCTTCCGTTTGCCTGCTTTAAGAGTCATATCAGCTCTCCCTACTGATTCTCTAAGATACATGGAGTCTGTTGGTATATGTGGCGACCAGACCGGCCGCCAGATAAGGGAGAAATTTACATCATAAGTTTGTAGGTAAAGGGGAAAGTGGCGCCCTGATATAAATGAAAGAGTACCCCTTACCTGCAGATCCGCCGTTTTGTAGAAAACACTAGCCGTGTGCGGATTGGGTGGCGTGGGTCATGGGCGACCAATCAGAGCCCGCCGTGACGTCACTGAGTGCCCAGGGCTGCGCCAACGTCAGAGTTGACCTGACTGTGGAGGTGAGAGGACGCGCCTCGGTCGGCTCTCGAGGATTTGAGGCTCTACAAGCCTTATTCAGTGGATTAAACTATCCATCGCAAACCACCGTCGTTATTGGAGACCCTGCGCTTCCGAGAAGCAAGAAAAAAGCCAAGTTCATTGAGCGGAGGAGTGCCAAACTTGGAAAATTGGTCGGCGACGACGCTGGGCGGCGCCGCTCGACGCTGAGGGCCTGGAAAGGTGTTGCGGGCAGGCTTAGCTGTGACCGGGTCACATTCACTGAGGGTTTTGGAGGGACGACACCGTTCCTAGGACAAGGAGCAATGCCTTGTGGAAGGGACGAGTGTGTGCATATAGTGATTAGCTCAGTGCCCACTGGTGAACCAGGATTGGGATAGCTGAATCTCTGGGATTGGATCGGCGATGACGCGAAGGCTGCACGACACCTGAGGACCTGTGGAACGTTCCTGGGTCGTCAAGGATCCACTCAGGAAGCGTGGGAACCTCACACCATCGAGGGACAGGCGTCGTGAGCCAGGAATGTAAGGTAGATAAAATTTCCCTCCCATTACCCCTTGTTTGAGTAGGCTAGATAGGCCACGATATTTGCATTTGTATGTTGCAGGATAGCATTAATACTTTAGTTGTAGGATAGGCTGCAGGGCAGCTTGTGTCCAGGACTGTTGGAGAGGACAGTGTGCGTGGACGGCAGGACAGTTGAAGAAGAGGTGCCGACGTAGCGAAGAGGCCCTTCTGTGAGTGAGTGTGTGACTCCTGTCTAATCTGCCCAGTTGAAGGAGTGGTTGGAGGTCGTGAAAGAAGAGTTGCTGACGATCTCCAGATTTATTATCCTTATGTTCATTTTCATGTATTGCTTAAAAGTGAATGTGTGATCATGTAAATTGTGTCAGTAAATTCACACATTTTATCATTATGTTTAAGTGTGCCTCCATTATTATATTTCTCTATGAGCATACACGAGGCTTATCATAGTACCACCTAGGGAACGTCACGTTCTCTATAGAAGTTCTTATCGCCTGGAGAGTGGTAAAGCAGCACAGACATATATAAAAGTGTACCCTAAGCCATCCGACCAGTATCAGAGCAAGAATGGTGGCAACAAGCAACGTAGTGACTGGAGATAGGTAAAGCCACCCAGACTTTTATGGGAGAGTACCCTGGGCTGACAGTCCAGTGGCAGATCGAGGGAGTAGCAACGCTCTGGCAACAAATAGTATAGAATACACCCACTGAACTGCATCGCTGGGGTGCAGATATACTAACCCAGCTGGCGACCTTGTTAAGAAGAAGATAGGGAAGGCAGGCGGGAAAGGAGTTCCTGCAACCTTTTTGTCTGGCAGGCAAGACTCAGGGAAGTTATTGTTATAAGGTAAGCCTGAGTCTTCCTTCACTTCTCCACGGGTCTAGGCCGGAACTGTTAACAACAGTTTCCCCGTGGTTGACTGAATGGCTCCCAGGGTGAATCAGTGGCCCCCCCCCCCTTTAGTGTTGGGAGCAAAGACCTGCGGTGGTGGGCATTACTGGTCCTCCCCTGTGGGACCAAGGAGACTCCGGTGAATCCCGGGAGTTGGAGGGGCTGAATATTCTGCCTTCTGAGCCCCTAGCAGCCGATTGCTAGCGAAGCCCCAGCCCACCCCCCCATGACAAGAACTGGCGACCTTGCCAGGATTCGAACCACGGTAGCCAAGAACTGGCAACTTCGCCGAGATGCATGGATCAGGCTACAGTGTTGCCAAGGTATGGTAATCAAGCTACAGTGTTACCCAA